GTTGATGGGAATTATATTTGAAAGGTTAAAGAAGAGGGGTTGAAACAATATTTTTAAGATGATATAAAAGTAACGTCAAAGAGATCCCGTTTATGAAACTTTTCTCTGAACCGGGTGTATCAAATCGTTTCAACGTTTACAACGTGAATATGAAGGCTATAAGGAAGATCCTGACACCCATGGAATTTGAAGTATTACAAAAATTGTTTATAGGTTATTAAAAAAATTTTTTACTAAAAATCAAATTTCATGGGTGTAAGGACCTTCTTTATAGCCTCCATATTCACGTTGTAAAGTTTGAAACGATTCTCTACACCCACTTCCTAGAAAAGTTTCACGAACGATTGCCCTTTCGGATATCACATTCACAACCCCTTAATGCATTATTTGAACCAGTTACCTAAAGAATTTATTGCTACGTTACGGTTTACCAACATGTCTACTCGTCAAACGCAGTTAACTGGTTGAATTTATACACGGAGAGAAAAAATCTGTTAAATGTACCGATTTTATCTCTTGGAATAGGAATTATTTCTGTGAGCGTTGCAGTCAAGTTTCTGTTACTTGATTTCGTAAAGATTACAGGATAACTATCTGTAGGGATTACAGGAAAATATTTGTAAGTGTTACGGATAAACATCCGGAAGTATTACGGATAAGTAACTGTAAAGAGTACAACTTTATACATGTAAAAGTAACAGAACAATATCTGTGAAGGTAACAGGATACTTTTTGTAAAATTTCCTGATAAAATTCTGTAATAGTTACAGATATACATTTGTAAGGTGTCACGATATTGAAATGATAATTTTAGAACCTCCCCAAATTCCTAAATAGTTATTTTAATGGTATATTCTCCCATATGTCAAAACAGAAATCTAAAACTCCTTTACAATCAAGAATGAATCATATTCAATGTTCTCAGTGGTTATAAAAGAGTTATTGATTTCCGTTTTGTCATCCTGGATACCTATAGAATATAAGTATACCATTAAAATGATTATCAGGAATTTTGAGAACCTCCAACATAAACACTTTAATGTTACAGTTTAAAGGTTGCATAACAATTGTCTTTAGATTTCTTTATTTATGAAACAGTCAACTTTTTTTACAATTTAGTGAAGAATACTTCCCTTGGATTTTTGACGTATATAGGATCTTGCTAAGGGCTGTAATGATCTTTAGAATTCTCTGATCTTTAGAATGATCTTTAGAATTCCTTTTTTTACATTATTAACATGTTTTCTAAGAACATGAACCTCATGGCGAGGAAAAATTGTAAAAATTGAAGAGTTGACAGGTGTTTGAAAAAAAAATGTATCGATTTTCACCATTTTTTCTTTTATTTTGCAATACAAGAAAAACCTTTAAAATTATGATATCATCCTAAATGTTGGTTCATGTTCTTCGTAATTTCATAAAGAAATACTTTCAATTTTCATGACGATCGGTTCATAACTTTTTGAACTAGAATTCCCGCGAATAAAAAAAATGTCGATTCCAGACGAACGCGTTTGAAAAATAATGTCCGAAAACTAGAAATTTGAGAAAATTATTAATAATTTGGATTGCTTACCGATCAATCGGCGATTCCAGCACCATATAATAATCCTTCTTCTTTCGTTTTACAAGGGTACTGGGCTAGGTAAGTTAATGAGTGGGTTACAGTTTAAAGGTTGCATAACAATTGTCTTTAAATTTATTTATTTATGAAACAGTCAACTTTTTTTACAATTTAGTGAAGACTTCCCTTGGATTTTTGACGTATATAGGATCTTGGGAAGGTCTGTCATGATCTTTAGAATTCCCTGAAAAACACGAGGTCATATTTTTTTTAGAACTTCATCCAACGAGATTGACTTACCTAAATGTGAAGTTATATATTATGGACACAATAATTAATGTGAAAATACTAAAATTGAACAGGAATCGGGAGTTATTGGCATCGAGGCATCGCGTCGCGTCATTCAATAGAAGAAAGTCATTTCCGATGCGCAATTACTTGCATACGCATTCGATCATTTTATGTGCATGCTTGCGTTCGGTACTTCTACGGAAGAAATCAGTAAATTTCATATCTTGAATCTGTGAAATCTTCAGATTTTATCCATAACGCTTACCAATATGTTTAAAAGGGGAAACCACATTAGGAGGCTGATTTTCAGCCGTTTTTTATGAATTTTATTGAGGGTGAAAAATTAATTCGAATTTGATCTAACTTTGACATTATTTTATTAANATATCTCGTCAAAAGCGTTAATCGGCCAGTATTGGGTCGCGAGATATCTCGTCCAAGGTAACGAAAAGGTTAATGGGCCAAATTGAGGCAGGTCGGAGAGAGGGAACGTTTTCTTGGGAGATTATAGAAACATTGGGGTTCGTTGGTTTAAACAAAATTGGCCCAATTCAATATATTCACGTATAAGTTGGACGCGAGGGGCCGAATCCACTAACGAGTTTCCTCCCGGAGTTTCCCCGTTTGCTCGGACTTTTCCTGGGACTAATTTAAACTGCATGAGCTGCGGGAAAGTTAAATACGGCAAAAATGAAATTACATTAATCCCAATTTTGAATGTGTCAGGACAATTCTTAGACGATCACGAGTCACGTGTCAAAGTTTCAGACGGTTCGGTTCAATACCCTTAAAAAAATATGTTTTATTCGGGTCGACTGATTTGAGGGGGGTTTCACTTCACCTTAAAATTTCTATATAAGCCATGAAGTGCGATCTTCGTTTTAGGGGTAACCGGTCGCAGGTAAGGAATGGCCAGCAGCACGGAGGATTACGGCTCGGAGCTGCAGGAGCTGCAATGGGGCGGCTCCACGGGCTCGCACTTCCTCAGGGGAAGCACGCACTTCTCCCGGTCCGGCGGTCTGGGAGGTCCCGGGGGTCCTGGAGGCCCCGGGGGTTGCTACGAGGCCGAGGACCTCGAGTCGACTGGAAGACACCAGGCTGGCCAACACCGGGGGTACTACAGTCCACCGGGCACCAGCTACACCATCGTCGAGAGGCCACCCAGTGCCCCACATCACCACTCCTCGCACACCACCCCCTATAGGCATCGTGGACACCCTGGCACTGCCAGTGGACCCATCTCGCCGGAACAAGTCCTCAGGTGCTTATAGCTTCCATAGATCTTCCGAAGATATCCCGAGTCGAATATCTTCACCTCGTGTACAGGGTTTGTCCGAAAAGTAATGTCAGTGAGTCGATTTAACCGTAACTACCAGAGGTTTTTAAAAAAACACGGTCGAAAAAAGCCGAGCAGCACAATAGCGCTTTCTGAATGGGATGCAAAAAGATCCAAGCGGCGCGATAGCGCTCCTTTTATTCTGTCGGATATTCGTCGGAAAATGCGTCTGGAAAGTTGAGCGCGTTTCGTCAGATTGTGAGTGCGCGGTCAATTGTCGGTATCGTTCAAATGCCCTGGGTTTTTTCGTCATGAAATCTGATGAGCGCGAAAGCGGCGCGTAGGACACAGAGGGTTTAAAAAATGTGTAGATCAGATCGGTACAACACGTTAAAAGATTTGAAAATAGGCTCGTCCTGCGTCGATACATCGCTTCCCCCAAGATTTCCAGGCAACGAAGGCGGCACGGTAGGCCTCCTTCGAAATGTCCTTTAGAGCCTTGGTGCAAGCCGCTTTGACGTTGTCAACTGTCTCGAAATGATGTCCTTTCATGGGAGTTTTCAAGCGCGGAAACAAAAAAAAGTCTGGGGGAGCCACGTCAGGACTGTAGGGTGGCTGGGGAACCGTTGGCACCTTTGAATCTGGGTTTTTTCAACATGAAATCTGATGAGCGCGAAAGCGGCGTGTAGGACTCAAAGGGTTTAAAAAATGTATAGATCAGATCGGTGCAACACATTAAAAGGTTTGAAAATAGGCTCCTCCTGCGTCGATACATCGCTTCCAGCGAGATTTCCTGGCATCGAAGGCGGCACAGTAGGCCTCCTTCGGAATGTCCTTTAGAGCCTTGGTGCAAGCCGCTTTGACATTGTCAACTGTCTCGAAATGATGTCTTTTCATGGGAGTTGTCAACCGCGGAAACAGAAAAAGTCTAGGGAAGCCACGTCAGGACTGTAGGGCGGCTGGGGAACCGTTGGCACCTTTCAATCTGGGTTTTTTCAACATGAAATCTGATGAGCACGAAAGCGGCGCGTAGGACTCAAAGGGTTTAAGAAATGTATTGATCAGATCGGTACAACACGTTAAAAGGTTTGAAAATAGGGTCGTCCTGCGTCGATACATCGCTTCCCCCAAGATTTCCAAGCATCGAAGGCGGCACGGTAGGCCTCCTTCGGAATGTCCTTTAGAGCCTTGGTGCAAGCCACTTTGACGTTGTCAACTGTCTCGAAATGATGTCTTTTCATGGGAGTTTTCAAGCGCGGAAACAAAAAAAAGTCTGGGGGAGCCACGTCAGGACTGTAGGGCAGCTGGGGAACCGTTGGCACCTTTGAATCTCCCAGGAAGAGGGTCACGAGGAAGGCTGTGTGGGCTGACGCTCAGCTAGCGCTGCATTACGGCCTGCACGGGAGGCGAAAACGCGTTTCATGGAAAAGCCTGTCCTTACTCTCTGGATGGTCGGAGACGAGTGAGCGACCGTGCGTTCGAAAGCTGACTTCCCGCTCCACCGATCCCAACCGGCCCGAGCGCGCTGCGACGTATAGTCGCTTCACAATTAAATCACTGACATTACTTTTCGGACAAACCCTGTAAGCATGATGCTCGCACGAGAGATAGACCTAGTTAAACTAATTATTTCTTATCTACCTTTCATCGTTAAAAAAAGAACTCAAATACTTTTAATTTATTTAGTACAATATCCAATATAATTCGACGCAGCTGTCAATATTAAAACGAACGTCGGCAACGTAGGCATTTAGAAAAATCTTCTTTATTGACGTCGATCAAGTTCCTCGAGGTGTTTCACTTCACCTTAACGTTGGGGTGATTGTATCAACGTGGTGGTGCTAAGTTGGGTGCATCAACGGCTTAGGACTGGCTTGACAGCATCAACGGATTAGCGCCAAATCGACCGTATCAACCGATCGATACTGGTTTAATTGTTCCAACGGATTAGTGTCGATCGAATCCCATCGACGTACCGGTGCCGGTTCGGTCGAAGTTAGTAATTCCGTGAAATTTTCCAGGCTTTTCGGAAATGGACCCTCGGAGAGGAGGCAAACGGACAGGCGCACTCCTGCGTCCAGTCCTGCCAGCGTATCTGCCCTCCGAAGCAGCTCCTCTCAACCAACCTCCCAGAATCCTCAATCTCCGCCGATGCCGCAGCCCCTGAGCTTGCAGGAGCTTACAGTAAGAACAATCACTATGACCAGGGATCCGCCGGATTCCCACCACGGCTTCGGGATCTGCGTCAAGGGCGGCAAGGATGCCGGTGAGTCTCGAGCTTTTTCCCTCGAAGCTTTCCGCCTTTGCGGGAAGTTCAAGACACGAAGAGGTTACCGAAGAGCCGGCGAATCCAATTCGCCGAAGCTCCGTCCTGGGAGGTGCCAAAAGGGAGACCATTTAAATAGAAAAAGCAAAAGAACCTCCGAAAAGGCTCCATGCAAATCCCCTTTGCGGGGGATCCAAGATACCTCAAAAGAGGAAAGCTCGACCGCAAACGCGGAGGGAGTAAGGCAGGGCCTCGATGGTCGAGCTTTTCTCTCGAGGCTGTCCTTGCTTTCGCTTTTCCGAGGAAGAAGATATGTTCTTAGGTATTTTCTTCTCAGCCTTGAGAGAATGCCTCTTCGTATCTAGGAGATATCCGGACCGGCGTCATAGTTTTCCTACCTCTCTCGCAGAAAGGAAGAAACTTAATTGCATGCCAGGAGCCTTAGGGGTAGTTCCTCAGCTCGTAAATATCTTCTGAGCACATTTCCGACATTTTCGCGCATTTCAAGAAGTCTTTCTTCATCGCGGACTGGGTTTTCCCTTTGGCAGCTCCGAGGCGCTTTGCGGAATGACTCATATAAAATTGTTCCCAATGACGTTTAATCGACCAATCGAATAAGAATCGTTGAGGGTGCTATTCGATTGGTTCACTTCGATCCTGATCAGAAACTAAGACAGTCACTGCGAAATCTTTCTGTTTCGCTTTACCAGATGCGCAGTCAGGTAACCAGCGTAATAATTAAGCGAATAAAGGAGGAGAGTAATCCGAGGAACGTTTTTTGGATACCAATCGGAAGGCGAAATCTTGCGGAGAATCGAGAATAAGTAATCTAAAATTGACGTGGTAGGGGAAAAGGTCTACTAAATTTGTAAGCTACTACCCATCTGTAGCAATTACAGAATGTGAGCCATTTTTTAAATTGACGTCCTTAAGGTGATATGAATAAAAGGGTCAGCCTATTTATATCTGAGAAGTCAAATCGTTGGGGAAAGTATTCTCCGAATTGGGGGTACCGATTTGTTTCAAATTTTACCACGGGAATATGGAGGCCCGAAAATAGGCACTGGAACTCATGAAATTTCATTTTTCATCCAAAAATTACTTATTTCTCATGGAATTGAACGAGCATGGCGTGGTCCGGGCACGATTTCGATGTTTTATGCTTCTTGGAGACTTAGAATCGAAAATGAAGAGTTTTAGGACCTAGCTCGAACAATTAGAACAATTAGAACCGTAGAAATGGAATATTACAGAGTCAAGTGGGAAAATATGGAAAATACTTTCATCAACGATTGCAAGAAAATGCTGGCTTGTCCCACAGCTAACGTGTGTTTTTTGAGAAAAAATTGAGTTGCAGCTGAACGTCACAAATGGCGACGTCAGTCCTAAACAGTCGTTAGAATAATGAATTCACGGGATTTCGACAGTTTTATCTTTCTTATCTTTTTATCATTACTTTACCGAATTTTTATCATTACTTTACCGATCTTTTTATCATTACTTTACCGATCTTTTTATCATTACTTTACCGATCTTTTTATCATTACTTTACCGAAATGACATTTGGAACGCCTCAGTTCGTATAATTCTCAACATAGACTATAAAAGACTTCAACATAAATATAAATATCGGTAACGGGATGCGCCAGCTTACTTTCCCTCTTGAGTATTCAAAACGGCATTACCACCAAAAAGGGTATAGATGAATTTTGTTTTATCAACGTTGATTAAATTTCTCAGTGCCTTCCATATCATCTTAAATCGCCTTAAGGAAACTTTTAACTTGAATCTTAGGTTATCAAAAAAGCCACGTAAACTGTTTGTAATTTTTATCCAATTACATGAAATATTTTTCGATACGTGAAGCGTAATTGACTGATAGCGCGAACGTATTTTCCGTGGAATCAGAGTTATCAAAACGACGAGAAAGTAATTAGGTTCTTGTGAAATTTAGAATCTGGCATTACTCTTCTCCACGATTTAGCGTTCTTCTGGATATTCGCAATAATCAAGACAAAATAGAAGCGATAAGAGCATCGATGTTGCATGAAAATTCAGCTTCTCAGCCTGGAAAGTTCGCACCCTTTGACGGTCGAATAATGCGTTTTTTTTATGAGCAGTAGTTTTATTTTTATTTTTAAACATATTTTGCCCTCATTGCAGAAATATGAAAAAAGTGGCTCAGCTTTTATGCGAGTTATTTACGCTGGCAGTAATAGCGTCATTATTTTGTAAATCGGAGAATTAATTAGCGGCGTTTTGCGCGACGCTCGATTAATGTTGCACGGAGCTCTTCCGGGCTGGGCGAGCCAACGATTGTTTTGCATGACACTGTATGCATCCTGTACAGTAACAAGAACCTAGAAGAGAAAGTAATTGGGCAATCGATCGTTCATTAGTCGCGCTAATTATGTTCCGCGAAGTACCAAGCCCCGCAAACAATGCAAGAAGACCTCGTTCGATTTTCGACTTTCGGAGAAAAAGAGCATGCTTCGTTTCGCCGACATGCGATTTCCCTGGAAACTCGGGTAATCAATTTTTCTTTTTGCCGTACAAGTCAATTCGACGCGAGATGCGATTACGCCAAGCAGAAGAGGTACCGAGTTGACCCGTAGGCATTCTGAAGTAAACTTGGTTAAATAAGAAAGAAATGGGAATAAATATCTGGAGAAATTTTCTTATTAAAATATCTCATTCGATGCCTTCTATGAATTGATTTTCAAACGTTAAGAACGACGGAACATGATTTTCGGATGATTCTTAGGTGATAAAAATACATTTCGATGCGAATTATATATGAAAGGTTAAAGAAGGGGGGGTTGAAACAATATTTTTAATAAAAATACATTTCGACGCTTGTTGATGGGAATTATATTTGAAAGGTTAAAGAAGGGGGGTTGANACTTGTTGGTAGAAGATGTTAAAATATGTTAAAGGATGTTTGTGAATTTCTTTCGCTTGATGATTATTGTCGTGTAATTAGACGAATGGCCTACGTAGGACGTAACAATGACCTGACACTTTCAAAATTTAGATTTTCATACAAATCTTTTTTTATCTAGCCTGGCGTGAAACCAAAATGGAAACATGTTCCCATAATTCGAACATTACATAATTTTCGAATTATTCTATATTAGAAACGAAGTGTCAGGAGAGTCACGTATTCCAAACACTCTAGTAATTGAAAAATGTGCATTTGTACGTGATAATGGCAAAAAAGTATTTTCGAAACTTCTGGGTTAAGATGAAGGTAACGCATCTAATCACCCAGCACGAGCTCTTGAGAACAACGATTAGGTACTTAACTTTAAATGCAACGGATGATCGTACAGTCGATCAGGGTATCACATCAGGTTTATGCGCAGCAAATGATGAGCATCATATATCAGAAATTCAGAGGATTTCTTCAGTTTTACTTCGACTTTTTTACAATCATTCGATCGAAATGACACATGGCGTGCACCATTTCATACAATTCTTAACGCAGGACGATATATCTGTCAATATATTGACACGTCGGTAAAGTGGTGTGCCATTTTATGATACCACCATGTAGCCGAAATGGCGTTACCGTCAAAAAGGGTGGAGACTGTTTCAAATCGTACATCAGTCAGTAGAATTCGTTTTTACCGACGACGATTAAGGTTCTCGACGGGTTTCGGTTCACCTTAAGGTGATGTGAAAGTGACGTCGAAGAGGTTTTGTTTATAAAACTGTTCTCCCAATTCGATTTACCGAATAGTTTGAAACTTTACAACGTGAATAGGAAGACTATAAGGAAGGTCCTGAAGCTCTTGAAATTTCAATTCCTTTCAAATTTGTTTATAGGTATTTTATAAATGGTTTATAAAAAATTAAATTTTCCGAGTTTCATGACCTACCTTATGGTCTCCGTATTCATGTTTTAAAGTATGAAACGATTTGAGACACCCAGTTCTGTGAAAAGTTTTATGAACGATTGCACTTTCGCATGCTACTTTCACATTCCCTTAAGGTGGAGTGAAACGCGTCGAAGAATTTAATCGACATCGGTAAAAACGGTTTTCCTAAATACCTACGTTGCCACCGTTCGTTTTTATAGCGACAGCTGTGTCGAATTATGTTGGGCATTATCCTTAATGCATACATACTCCGTCTGTCGTTTTCGTAGAATAATTATAAAGAAATCGAAGTAAAACTCCAGATATTCCCTGGATTCATGGTTTCCGAGGACCTAATTGACTGTAGAGGGACCCCCTGCGCCATCTGTGATGTCCATGTCAACTAAATTTTCACTCCGAAACCTCGTACTCCCATCGTTTTAGCATAGAGTAGCATAATACACTTTTTTTGCCTTTATCCTGTGCAAATGTAAGTTGATAGATTACCAGAGTGTTCTAAATTGTCGTACAATTGTCCTGACACTTTCATATCCCATATTAGAGCCTTGAATAATTGGATATCGATTGAAATATGAGAACTTGACGCAATTTTGGTTCTGGTCTGGGCCAAGTTAAACAATTTTGGTCGAAAATCCACATTTCGATATTGTCAGGATAATTCCTAGGTACTCACGAGTCATGTGTCAAAGTTTCAGACGGTTCGGTTCAATACCCTTAAAAAAGGGTGTCTTATTCGAATCGACTGATTTGAGAGGTGTTTCACTTCACCTTAAGATGGTCATTTAAAGTATACATATTTTACACTTCACTTTGTACTTCGGATTGAAATGAAAAAATTAATACTTTTTCGAAACGAGTTGCGTTATTCGAAATTCAAAATGACACCTACTTTTGGGAAATCCTTTGTAAACCACGACTCGTACTTTACAATTAGAATTTCTTGTAAATGTAAAATGCGCGGGCAATTACGTTTTAAATTTACTCAAGCATGAGTGCTATGTGTACCTAGGAAACGTACGGTACTACAATTATGTTTTTTTGGTCGTATCCGAGCTTGAATTTCATTTGTTTATGCGATAAAAGGATGTTGAGAGCTTGGGGGAGGAAAATAATTGGAACGAGGAGGGCGAGGTAGAATTAACCCTTTCGTTACCTTGGACGAGATATCTCGCGACCCAATACTNATATATACCAGTTCCATCCCTGTCAGTATTAACAGCCATTTTCAGCTGCATTTACAGATGGCTCTTACAGAACTATTTCTGTTAATTGTACATGTGAAAAAGTAAGAAACAGGGCAGTCGGTTTTACGATCATAAAATCGGAACGAATTCGAATTTCGCATTGAGATTTTGGCAACGTATTCTTAAATAGTTATACTAACAATTTATATAATGAAAAAAGTCCGATTTTATGAACATCCTAATGTGGTTTTTCCCCTTAAACTTTCCGAAAACGATAACCTGAACAGAGTGAATCCATAATGTCAACGGATATTTTTTGTTGCATCTACAATTTTGTAATGCTTTATATATACCAGTTCCATCCCTGTCAGTATTAACAGCCATTTTCAGCTGCATTTACAGATGGCACCTACAGAATTATTTCTATTAATTGTACATGTCAAAAAATAAATGTAGCTGAATTAATTGTTTAATGGGACAGCTTTTAACTGTACCTAAAACAGAAATATCCAACAGGTAGGCATCTGTAATTTTGAGGCATTCATTTTCCTCCGAGTATAAAAGAAATACCATTTTTGAGTGAAAATCAATTTTCGAGGCCTCTTGACGTCGCGACCAGGACTTCGTGTCGAAACGTCGGAAGGAGGCGATACCACGTCGGATGCCTCTCCTTCGGGGCAAAATCCGATAATCATTTATCGAATCCCTGAATAATGAAAGGAAGAATCGATACACCGGAGGCGGCCGGGTTAAATAATGCCGATCTTTCATTAAGGGCGAGAATCGATGAAGGAGCCTCGACTCAGGGGCCCCCTAACGAGCTCATTGTCCTTCCGGCTCTTTGTAGCTGACTAATTTTCACTCCCTGTCTTTTAACCCTCTCTTCCTCTGCTTTTCGAGCCGGCTCGTCGGCTAATTAAATGGCGAGCGTGTACCGCGACACACCGCCGTGATTACCGTAAAAGTCGGCCACGATAGCGTGTCTCCTCCAATCGGGCAAATTAACATCGGCCAAAACTACGATTTTCGTTCCTTCCTCGCGATCGGAACTTAAGGTGAAGTGAAACACGTCGAGGAACTTGATCGACGCCGATAAAAAAGTTCTTTCTAAATACCTACGTTACCGGCGTTTGTTTTTATATTTACGGTTGTGTCGAATTATATTGGGTACTGCACTAAATGGCATGCTCCACCTGTCATTTCTGTACAATAATTATAAAGAAATCGAAGTAAAACTCCAGAAATCCTCTGGATTCATGCTTTCTGGGGCCCTAATTGACTGCAGAAGGACCCCCTGCGCCATCTGTGATTTCCAGGTCAACTAAATTTTCACACCGAGACCTCGTATTTCCAGCGTTTTGGCATAGAAGCACATAAAACGCTCTTTTTGCCTTTATCAAGTTCAAATGCGAGTTTATCAATTAACAGAGTGTTCTAAATTGTCGTAAAATTGTCCTGACCCTTTCGTTTCTCATACCGGAGCCTTCGATAATTGTATATTGATCGAAATATGAGAGCTCGACGCCATTTTGATTATGGTCAGTGTTAAGTTAACAAATTTTTTCCAAAAATACAAATTTTGAATGTGTCAAGACAATTCTTAGATGATTACGAGTCATGTGTCAAAGTTTCGGACAGTTCGGCCCAATACCCTTAAAAAATGTGTTGTATTTGAATCGACTGATTTGAAGGGGGTTTCACTTCACCTTAATCTCCGAAAAATTTCCGAAAGATGGAAACGCTAGACAAATTCCTTGGAGTTTCGCAAAAAGTTAATACAGACCCTGCGATCGAAATCAGTGGCCTGTAAGGACCCATCAGAATTAGATGAATAATATGATCGATAATTAAGTATTTAATTGCTTTTCGGAGAAATTAAAAACGAAGACAAATGTCAGAGAATTACGAGATCTTTCTTTTTCAATGTGTGCCACTATTATATTTGATTACTCATAATTTTAGTACTACGGAAGATAACAAATTTTGGATGTCTCTTTTCATTTTCCAGTTCCAGGTTCGCATAGATGTTTCTTTTTTTTCTTCCCGTTCCGTCTCTCTTTTCCCTACACTCAATGCATGGTTTATTTACTCGCAATTATCCCGATTTCACGTAGTTATGTATTATATGAAGATCACCAAAATCACAAAGGATATTCGGGGATCACTTTCTATTCACCGCTTATGCATCCACATCATCTCTTATTCTCTGCATCTCTATTCTACGTGTTGATATCAGTTTGTTTCCCATCCGTGGTCTCGTTTCCTGGTCAACAAATATTCCTTTTTAAAGTTATAGCTGATGAAAATTCTGCACAGCCACGACGATGGGACTTTCGGGGGATTTGGGGACTTTGGAGAATTTCATGGTGGAAATGACGCCACGGATGGACCCGATGCCTCGGGAACTTCCTTGAATGAGATTTCCGGTAATTGTCCTCAGGGGTTGGTGTCTACATCTCCAGGGTGGAGGAGGGTTCGGTGGCTGAACGAGCCGGTCTCAGACCTGGGGACACCATTTTGGAAGTAAACGGCACCCCCTTTCGAGCCGTTACCCACGAGGAAGCCCTTAAGGTCAGTTTTCATAACATTTTCATCCATCCTGAGTTTATATTTGCCAGCATGGGGTGAAGACTCCCCCTTCTCGATGGCCGTTTCAAGTTGTAGCTCGTAAAGAGACCCGTAAGATCAGTTTTCATGACGCCTTCGTGCACCGAGACTTCTTGGCAGGCACCCTAATTCCGTAGGAATTTCTCAGGGTAAGGCACGAGGGGCTGTTTTGAACATTAAACTCGCTCAACTCNATCTTCCAATGAAATCTACAAGAAATCTTAAGAAATCTGTCGTTTGAGATATTCAGCAAATATTACAAAGAAATATTTAGAAATTATTCTATGCTACTGGGGTACATTTTATTTTTCATACGGTATATTGTTATAGAATACTTTAGCTTCTTCACGCCCTCGCGGGATGATATAGTTTGTTATAAAAATAATTTCTAGGTTTCCGTTTTTTGCCGAGATCTAATTGGGTTACGGTTTTTGAAAAGGTATTTCAAAGGGCAACAGTATACTTCGGCGGTAATTTAGCGAATGGCCAATTTTGCCTCCTGCGCATTCCTCGTTGAATTTAGGCGACTATATGTAGTCGCATTTCCAAAAAGGAGAGTAGAGAATGAGTTGACGTTCAAATTCCGGTAAAGATTTAGTATATAAAGACCGATAGCACCGAGACTTCTTCGCAGGCACCCTAATTCCGTAGGAATTTCTCAGAGTAAGGCACGAGGGGCTGTTTCGAACATTAACACTAGAACTACCGGCGATTTTTTTTTTTTATAGGATAGGTCATTTGAAACCAGTTATTTTGACTGGTCTTTGTAGTTCTAATGTAAATTCGCTCAATTCATGTCTCTGAATTAAATGAGCGCTTTCTTTGAGGAAAATGTCGCCCCGTGACCCTTGGCTGCCCATCTCAGGAAATTAAATACCGCAATATAATAATACATTTTATTTTTCATACGGTATATTGTTATAGAATGCTTGAGATTCTTCACGCCCTCGCGGTACGATACAGTTTGTTATAAAAATAATGTATACGTTCCGGTACAGATTTAGCATATAAAGACCAATATGAGGTACAAATTAGCTTATGTTACCATTTGAGTATTCAAAACGGCATTCGCATCAAAAAGAGTATAGATGAATTTCGTTTTATCGACGTCGATTAAATTTCTCAGCGCCATTCATATCATCTTAAAAGAATTTGGTGACCACCGATTAAAACCACCTTTCACGTCACTTTAAAAAATGATAAGGTATATCTTAGACATAATAAGAAATAAATGTGCCCCTCGTTGGACGGGGTGAAATCTCGAAAACGTGAAACTCGGTCGCATTGTCAATGAGCAGAAGACCTCGTTTAACAAGTGTAAAGCCGTCGAAGAGAATGTTCATATTTTTCAGATTTCTGGCGCTTCCTTTAGAATTTATTGTTACGTCCTGTGGAGGGGCGCGAATCTTTTTGTTTAACACTAGGTTTACGGGCGTTTTTTTATATACCTGTTTCTATGAGCACCCGTCAAATTGACGGGTAAACGAAAACACGCATTTTCTTTAAAAAATCGATTTATTCAAATTAAGTCTGTATTAAACAACCCTAGGCTTTACGTTTAAATAAATTATTAATAAGTAAAAAGTCCTTTTTTAAAAATTATCACGGAAATGATTGGAATGCTCGTCCTCTCATCCTCGGAGTCAGAACTAGAAAGAAAGCGCATCCTTTTCTTGTTACGACACCCTTTCAAGAAGTTTTCCTCTTCACTATCCGAAGATCCTTCTATTTCTCCACTTTCAATGCAAACTTTCACTCTCATCTTCGCCTTACACTCACTGCAACGAAGCAAATATATATGGATTGTTTATGAAATTAGCTAGTCCGTCAATTTGACGGGTTTCGTAGAGATAGGTATACTACATACAGATCTTAATAATTAGAAGGCTTAGGAAAAAATAATCGTGTGTGCAAATTCTTTGGATGAAATGATTAATTTACGATACAAAAATGGTTAAAATTAATGCTATGGTTTTTTCGGTATTTCTTTTTGAAGTTTAAATTCCGTAAAATTGACGGGTCCCGTAAACCTAGTGTCAATTCGGGGTGGGGGGCACTCGGGGAATGGATTTGAAAATTCGAAGGACACGTCGAAGTGAAGAACTCGTTCAAGTTTGCCGACGAGGTGATCCCCGGGGTAAACGATGCTCTGATAGGCGACCGGAACCGGAAGCTCATCGTGCTCTACTGGATCGCGACTCTTCAGACAAAAGCTTCCTTACAATGGGCCATCAGTGTATCGGCCTCGGTAAAAGTATGAAGAGGCGAAACTATACAAGAAAGTATGCGCATGGAGCAGGGCACTGTCACCCAGGAACTTTTTTAAAATTAGCCCTCGCATTCCGGCCGACCTCGGTGTACAATGCATTGTTGATAACCGTCGATATTGTTATCCCGTCCGAGAACAATTTATCGATAAACAAGGTGGCTGAGAATAGGATCTTAATTTTGGAAAATTGGGCAGAAAGTTTTCGCATGGACTCAGACGTTGAAATGGAGAAATTTGTTAAGAATTAAGATGATATGAAAGGCGCTGAGAAATTTAATCGGGGTACAGTGCATTGTTGATAACCGTCGATATTGTTATTCCGTCCGAGATGAATATATCGATAAACAAGGTAGTTGAGAATGGGATCTTAATTTTGAAAAATTGGACAGAAAGTTTTCTTATGGACTCACACATTGAAATGGAGAAATTTGTTAAGAATTAAGATGATATGAAAGGCGCTGAGAAATTTAATCGGGGTACAAGGCATTGTTGATAATCCGGGCATCCGGAAATTTATTAAACAGTAATCCTCGAGTTCCAATCTGTCTCGTTGACGATGCACCATTGATAAATATTGAATTCAATGTAACGTTATTTCTTGGCAAATAAGATATATTTAGTCCCGGTTATACCTAAAAGATATCTAAAGGGGCTTTGAGTTTAGAAATGTGGAAAAGAAATATTCGCATGATTTCAGAGATTGACATTAATAACATTTCTTCAAATTAGCTCTCGCAATCCGACCAATCTCGGTACACGCTGTATTATTGATAAATTTTTAATTTGGTACTTCGTTATTTTTCGAATTACATGATATATATCGATGACGGGGTTTGAAGTACGGAAAAGTAGATAAAATGTATTTGCATGGACGAAGGCTGTTTTCAAAATTAGCCTTCGTAGTTCCAACCGAGCTCGGATATAAAGCATCCCTAGTAGCACAAAATATTTGTCCTATATTTTCTATATATTTAACGAACATCGTACATTTTGTAAATATTTAGCAGACATTTTAAATATTTGCAAAACGTTTACTTCAGAATATTATCCACTATAATATTTATATAATATTAGCTCCACGTGTTTTCGTAATATTTTTCTACCAGATGTACAAAACATTTCGTTTCATTTATATTTATATACAAGTATTTTTTAAATATTATCTGCCGAATATATTATAAACGTTTTAAGAATATTTAAAATCAAAATCACACCTTTTGCTCCCGTAATGAAATAGCGGAATGAAAATATTACTATAATTTCTCGTGTTTTTTGATAACAAATGAAGTGTCCGATAATAGTCGTGAAGTAAAAAATTAATTTTTATTATGTTAATAAGTTAAAAAATATAATTTCTCTATGTCTATAAATTATTGAAACTAAATATGTCATTGAGATTTTCAACAAATATTTTAAATATCTTCCAATGAAATCTACAAGAAATCTTGAAAAATCTGTCGCTTGAGATATTTAGTAAAGATTACAAACAAATATTTAGAAATTATTTTATGCTCCTAGGAATTCTCGATAAGTACAGAGTTCGATATCTCATTATTTCTCGGATAACAAGAAGTATCGATAACGAGGTCTTAAATTTGGGAAAGTAGACAAAACTGTTTTGCACAGATCGACACACCGATATCCAAAATATCTTCAAACATTTTTTCAAAAACGAGAAGTCTAGATAACACTGTTTTATGTCGGGGAAAGGTGAAAAAAGAGCCCGAATCGAGATACTGGAGTCCAGAAATTAAAAAAAAATGAATACTCACCCTCTAACCGAGTTCGATACGTGATGCATTGTTGAAGGACCTCGACTCGATATCTCGATGTTTCTATTAAAATCAATACTTATTGGATAATGAAAAATATTGAAACGAACTGTAAAGCCAAGTTTGAAATGCCAAAAAATAGGAAAAAAAAAACTATACCAACGTGTATTGACGTGTAGAAATTTCTTAAAGCGTCAGAATTGAAACTACAATCCGAATCAAAGAGGTATTATTATTACTAATTGAAATCGAAATTTATTTCTTAGGAAGGAATCCGTAATTCGTTTCAAGAAAAAGAGGGGTTTGAATTGTTTCAACAAGTGTCGTGTGAAATTGTGCATGAAATTTGATCCAAAAACTGGACTGCAATGGTTTTTCTCATTTTTTTCTTCATTTTTGCGTAAATCCAAAGGGGGCGGTCACGCAAAAGAGGCGCAGAAGTTCAGGAGTACGAGCAGATCCGAGAGACGTAGTCCTACTTCAGTTATCGATCTCTCGAACGAGACTCTCGACATCGACCCTGACTAATCTCTTGGCTTTTCAATTCGAAGAACTCGGCTACTTGACGTTTCCCGAGTCTAAAAGCTCCCAGCTTTCCCGGAGGAATCCGCATCTTCGCCTCCTTCACCTTTCCTTCCTCCGGCCTCCTTTTTGCCCCGCGATATCTCCCCTCCCTCCCCTAAAGCCCTTCAAACCATCTCCCGCTTCTCTCCCTTTAAAATGACCATTTTAATTTCCAAGGCATTTAACCCTTTCGTTACCTTGGACGAGATATCTCGCGACCCGATACTGGCCGATCAACGCTTTTGACGAGATATCTCGCGACCCGGTTGTAGCCGATCAACGCTTTTGACGAGATATCTCGCGATCCGGTAGTAGCTGTATTTATTTCATCCTTTTAGCTATACGAATAGAATTAGTTA